TGCTCTAAGCAACTGACTGAAACTGAATAAAGCAAAATAAATGCGTTGCCAAAACCATGAATGAAAACTTTAATAAAGGGGATTTCCCCGCTTATAGTCGTCGGTAAAAAAAATCAAGTTGATCATCCTAAAGGGAAGCCAGGAGATCCATAGCACAGGGTATCCTAGTTTGGACTCGTCTCCCACGCTCTTTGTTTTGTGGAAAAAATATGTTTGAAAAAGATAAACTGCAATGTACTATTTGTGGGAAAAATAATAAAGGTCATTATTATTATTATCGGTAATGTGGACTAACAGAGCTGCTATAAAAGAGTTAGATAGACCGCTAGTCGCTACAATTTTGAAATGTGTGCTAAATACACCAAAAAGCGCTGGATTAAGCGCTAGGTGCTAAAATTTCGAAATGCGCGCTATACATTCCAAAAAAGCGCTAAATCTAGTTCCCAAAGCGCTAAAATGGCAGTACTGATTTTGCGTATATTATAAATACAATATCACGACATTTCGTTGCAAAATTTTTATTTTTGGTCGGGTTCCGTTGTATGCTGGATACAAATTTCTTCAGTAAGTCTCAATACGATTCATCGGCGAAAAATCTCAACACAGCAATTCAGAAAAGTTTGTAATTTGTACAACTCTATCCATTACGTCCTTTGTGTGAGAAAACATCCTTTTTAAATCTCTTTTTGTGTTTTAAGTATAAATATATTAATTATTAAGGAACGTTTTTTTACACACAAATCTTTTTATTACTATTTCTGAGATTTTATGGCGCCATTGAACAAATCCGAACCCACATTTCAAAATAATAATCATTACTTTCGATAGAATTAACCAATTTTAATAAAACAAAGATTAAATGTAACTCGAAGATACGCTTTATGATTTTCTTAACGATTTCTTTGAAAATAAAAGATGTTTACTTTAGACGTGATGCGTTCATATAATAACAGACAAATAGACAGACAGACAATTCTAAAAATTATAAAATGTTCTTATTTAATTATTTTCAGTTCCCCATAATGATTTTAGCCACCAAAATATATATACAATGTACAGAAAGAGACACAACATGTTATCATCATTTTTATTATATGTATATATTTAAAGAGAGATGGCGCTGCTAACATCAATTCTAAAAATAAAAGAGATTAATTGACGCGATTGATATATTATATAAAACGTAAGAGAACTTATACATCAGTGCCTGCACAGTAAGCAAAAAATAAAGTTTGACTCTCGCCAAAACCAACGCAATTGTTAATAGCTCTTTTAAAATTTGATTTACCACATAGAGTACTCGGCGGTAAAGAATAAATTGAGTTTGTCAACACGCAGTAGGGCAGCGAGTAATATAATAAAGATTAGCAGTAAATATGAAAACTCATCTACAGGAAAAAACCACTACATTTTCACAACACCACCATCTATCGAAGAAATGGGTTAACTATTGTGCTTCAGATTTAGTTAATAAGGTTAATATATTTTTGTATAATATATTTAATACGTTCTTTAATACTTTTGTTTACTGCGTTTTAGATATACATAATTATATCACTATTTTATATAATTTAACTATGATTTATGATATGATATTAGTTTAAAATGCACTTGATGACTCAAACAAAGCCACCGTTGAGCAAATTCGTACCTATACTTCCCTACCCATACTTCAGAATATTTATCATAACGTTTGATGGAATGAACTGATTTTAATGAAATAAAGACTAAATGTAACCCGAAGATACACTTTATAATTTCCTTAAGAATTCTTATGATATAAATTAGTACTTTATACGTGATACGTTAACAAACAAACAGACAGACAGACAGACAGACAGACAGACAGACAGAAAATTCTAAAAATGGTAGAAATGTATTTAATTACTTATTTTTAGTACCCCTCAATCACTTTTATTACAAAAATATAAAATGTACAGACATCTGCTATTTACAGTTTTATTATATGTATAGATTTAGAAATCTTTATACTAAGTGTTCTAACGTAACTTAGATCGTAGATCCGAGAAATATTGAGCGAAACCCGTCGGTATATTATGAAGTTTTCATTCGTAATTCGATACGCACTTTCTAATAGTCAGTTCGAAGCCAGTAATCTAATAATAATTACGTAGAAATATAGACATGATTGGAGCAAAGAAATGAAGGCGGCGTGTGGCTTAGTGGTCGACGTATATATACCTAGCATAGATACACTTTATTTAAACTGACATAGTCCTATATGTAGGTCCTGGGTTAGAATCCGATGTTTGCAGCTGGGTGCATTTATTATTCTTATTTCGATGTAAAAAATTAAAATTTCCTTTGTCAAAGCCAACATGTTTTTCTAGTACCGTTTCAAAATTGGGTTTTTTATATATGTATAGAGTAAGGGTAACAAACGGGTGCACAGTCATCTGATGATGATGAATGCTGTGGCCCATAGACATCTACATTTATCCTCGATTAAGGATCAAAATGCAGATGCGTTGTCACTCCTAAGGACAAAGTTGGAATGCCTCGTTTCCAGTAAAAAGGGTCTTCGGTTTTCTACACTCACCATACGAAGCATTGCAGCATTAAGCTGTAATTTTACGAGTGCGTGGTCCTACCCCGCTCGAGCAGACCTTTTCGTGCTACAGCCATAATATAACTGCAGCTGGCTTTAACACGAAAATAGAACCTCAGTCCTCAGACCTAGGAAGAAATGGCGAATGAAACTCCGTAGTTATCTTTTTGTTTATTATCATTTAATTTATCCTTTAACTCTTGTTTTTTTTTTAATGACGTTTCGACATAAGCGTTGTAGAAGGCGGTGCAGACTGCAGACTGAACGTTTTATTTATAAAATGTTGAATTTTTTTTAATTGTGATATGTTGGGATGTGTGTCAGTTTCGTTTACTACTAGTACCGGGCGAAGTGTGGGGCGGCTCCTCACTAGATTGAGCTAAGACCTGGTAAGACATGCCGGAAGTCGATGGATGCAGGTGGCTCAGGACCGTGCTTTGTGGCATTCCTTGGTTCTAGAGGCCTATGTTCAGCGGTTGACTTGTGAAGGGCGGGAATGATGATGATGATAGGATGCGTGTTGCTTACAGTCCAACGTTATCGTGACATATATATTGCTCACTAAGCAGACCAATGGCGTTATTCTCTAGTGTTACGAAGCGGACTGATGGCATTATCCACTTGTAAATGAGCTTATTTTACGTAACAAAAGAAATTTGATTTTCAACTATTTTCCTGAAACGCATAATTAAACTCCTACAGTCTTATTCCAAAAAAATGTTTTAGTACTGGGTTAAGTTTAGGAGTAAGAAGTCCAGGTTTGTTACAATATTCTAGTTAATACCAGCACTAAAACGTGTGCTTATTACAAAACGCAGACTACCCGAGAACCAGTTAATACCAACGTTAGTATTATATTAAATATCATTCACAGATATAAAACAAAAAATGACACTCTATCATTCGTTCATATAGGTTTCATTCAATGCAACGTTCGGTTTCATAAAATATTAATATTATTTTCACACTTAATTATGCTTAAATAATTATCTATCAATACAAAAACATATCAAACCTTGTTATTTGTTTACGTTAAAATCTATTGAACAAGCACGACATATACTTTTGACGCGCTTTTGATTATATCAAGTTGTTTTCAGTTTAACAACTCTAGCGTGAAATGTAGTGAATTACAGAGGTAACGCGAGCGCGGGATTCGAGACGTTCAAAATAGTTTATATTGCAGCCTTATAATAAGTAAATTAAATTATTAATAATTAATTAAGTACTTGCTATTACAGTTATATTTATATAATAATGGAAAAAAAGAAAAAATGGGGTGAAAATTGGAGTTCTGAAGAAAAAGTTAGTGAAATATCGAAATTTATTTGTCAGTACGTAGCAATACTCTTATCCTCCTATTATCCTTATTTCAACTAAAAGGAATGTTCTTATTATTATAGGAAATATTACGTACACTTATTTCACAATCAGCACATACAATAGAGAATAAGTCGACAAAAACATCGGTAAATATTCAAAAAATAAAAGAGTGGAAGAATATAACTAATAAGTAAGTACTTATCGCATTTGTTATGTGTACAAATAGGTACGGTATTGTTTACGTGATTTCGTATTTTTTTTAGATTTAATGAGATAACAGGTAAACGCCGATCAGATGGTGAATTGAAATTATTTTGGAAAAGAATGAAGTTGTGTGCTAAATCAAACTTATACACATATAGGAGGGAACAATCAAAGACCGGGGGTGGCGGAAAACCTCCATTACCTTCTCTTGAGGACTTGGAAATAATGTCCATTGCCCCTCACGACTTTATCGTTGAAGTTAATAATTATGATAGTGATGCAGTGGTAAATAAAATTACTTACATGTCTTACAAATTTAATTAAAATTAAAGAACTTTATTTTCCATTACTTTAGTACCTAGGTAGTGCTCTGAAATCTACTCTTAAAGCATACAATTTACAATCCAAAATTATTTTCCGAATATTCAAAATTTAATATACTTAGTAACAATTTAACATAAATTTCTTTATAATTAATTATATTCAAAATTGAAATGTCACAAATTCATATATAGTGGTCTATATAATATCATAACACACATGTTACTAGATTATCTACACAGTCCGATTATAATTTTCTATTTTTGTCTATTAGGTATTATAATTAATAATTTATTAACTTACCTTTTGTCTTGGATCATAATAATATTTCTACAACATAGAAAATACCTGATTCAATAAAGGGCAAAATAGAGGTGACAGGTGACAGGAAAACATGTTAATAAATGTTTTAATGATTTATTTTTGGATCCAGTGACTGTGGCTACAACATCAAAAGAAGTTGCTGACCCTAAGCCTCGCCTTAATTTTGAAAAAACAGACACAGCTATAGTTAAAAATGTAGAAAATCCAGAACCCAATATTGTATATGTGCAAGGTAAATAATACTGATTGAATATTTATTAAAAAGCAAAATATATTATTATTATAGTTACAATCATATGCATACAAGTTTGTAAATATTATAAATGTTAATTTTCTAAAACTGTTATATTTATATTAATTTTTAGAGATAGATCCAACTACAGATACAGAAGAAAGTGTCAAAATGGTGAAAATAACCAACAATAAAGATATTATTACTAGGGGTATAACAAAAATTAAAAACAGGAAAAATAGCTTGCAAAATAGGTATGTTGAAAAAATTACATAGTCTGATACATTGCATACTTTTTAAAATGTGAAAATTAGTATTTAAACACTGAAAATTGTTTCATGTTTTCAAATATTAAAAGCAAAGTTTAATATGAATTGATTTAAAAATAATTAAAAAATATTTCTTTAATTGGTGTACAAGGTTAAGTGCACTTTTATTACTCTAGAATACTTTGTAAATGTCTAAAATAACTACAAAACTTACATTAAGTATTCCATTTCATTTTACAGAAGAGAAGATACACCAAACAATTGTAAAAAGTAACACAGATTTAAAAAAAAGACAACTGGAAATGATGGAAGAGGAACATAAATACAATATTAAAATAGCTAACCTAAAAATTAGAAAATTAGAGTTACAAATATCGTTATTAGAAAGTCAGAAAAACACAAGTTAAATAGCAGCATAATGCTGCTGTGTTTATTATGGTGAGTTTATAGAACGAGAATAGAATAGAATGATTTTTATTAAATAAAGATTATTACAGAATACTTATTGAAAGACATTTTTTATTTACCACTGGTTCGGAAAATACCTCAGTCCTGGGAAGAACTAGTAAGAAACCCAGCGGGACTTTTTTATAAACATATTTCTCTTAACAATAATTTTATTTGTACAATTTTTAAATGAATTTTAATAGAACCACCATGGTGGCGATCACCTCAATTCCAGTATTTCCAATATTTTCATTTATGTATTCTTTAATATTATAATAACCTTTTTATAAAATTTTTCTTTAATGAAACATTTAAACTTGTTTATTGACAAATTTTGGATAAATTTTTGTACAAATTTTGTATGAGAGAGACCTCTTTTACAGGAAACGAGGCATTCCATCTTACTCCACACGGGTGACAACGCATCTGCATTTTGATTTGTAGTCGAGGATAGATGTGGACGTCTATGCACCACAGCAGTTACTTAACATCAGATGGACTGTGTGTGTGTGTGTGTGTGGTAGACTGTGTTTATCACCATTATCCTATAAAAAAAACTAAATATTTGAGACTATATGAGATACATGTTTGTAAATATCCTCATATATGAAAATATTATTTTCAGGTACTTAATTGCTGTAAATATTTGTACATCTTTTATTAATAATTAAAATAAATAATTATAATTAATATGCATTTTATTTACATAACAATGAAATATAATATACAATAGTAAAAAACTATAATAAAAAAACTAAACCTAATTACTTTGTCATCATACAGTCCTACTCCCCGTGGACCCGTGCACCTCTAGAAAGGAAATCTGGCTGTGAATGTAGAGGAGGGACGATATTTATTAAAAAATCTAAACATATCTCTACAGCACTTAAATCTTTATATAATATAGCTTCATATTGATGTGGAATGTGCTGTACCACGCATCTTTCCCTGAAACACAATCATTTATAGCCTAAATAAAAGCATTTTGCTCAATAAATGAAATATTATCACAATACTCCCCTGAATTTATTTCATATTGGTGAATATGTAGTCGTTATTCTTTGACAGCTGACAACGGCTCTGCAGAAATATTTTCCTTTATAAATGGGTATTATGTCTGAAATCAAAAAGAAATATTATTATAATTGTCTTATACATTTATTGATCTTTAATGTAATTTTATAGCCAAAATTGGCCTCTGAATAATAAAATAAAATAAATTATATATACATAGCTTTAGACAATTGAAAAAAATTTGACAATTTTATAAATATAATTATAAATTTTAATTATAAATAGTTATATAAATATGTAAAAAAAAATGTTTACCTACTGAAAATGAGTTTCAATAAACTGTCTTCTTCTAATATTTCCCCTTATTGATGGTGCAATATATCTTTGTACTATAGGTTCAGATGAATATTGTTCAATGCTATCTCTCTCACCAGAAAACACATCTTCTCTCATGTCGATGGCCATATTGTGTAGTACAGCACATGCAACAATTGTTTTTTTTTGCTGTTTCAATATCTCCAAACATACCTCTTTCCACTGTGTTCCTGGTACGGATATGGCTCCTATTATATCTTTCTTCTTGTGGTGTGTGGGGTTCAGCAGCGGTGTAAATAGGTAAGGAGTACAAGGATAGCCACTGTCACCAAGTAATATTCCAGAGAATGCACCAGCCTCAAACCTCTGTTTTAGTCTACATTCTCGGAATATTCTGTAGTCATGTACACTACCACACCACCTGGTAACAATGTCCATGATTTTCAGGTCAGCATCACAAACCACCTGTAAAGTAAGAGCTCATTAGTACTTTATGTTTTTCTGGTTTATTTTAATATATATTTATTACCATAAGATAGTCAAACAAATTATTTTCTATTATGATAAAGTAAAGTTATTAAGAGACAGTCACAGCTATTTAAAATATTTGTATATTACCTGTACATTAACTGAAGAAAATCCTTTTCTATTAATATATAACTGACCCCCATCAGCATTCACTTTCTTTACTCGTATGTGAAAACAGTCAATTGCGCCAATTATTGTAGGAAAATTAGCAATACTGCGAAATTTCCTAATGGTTTCCTGCTGTTCATTTAAAGTAGTAGGCATTTTAATAAATTCTCGGGACTTCCGTGACAAAATTTCCGCTACTTTTTTACATGTCCTACTGACTACTGGTTGAGACACACCATGTAAATCAGCTGTATCGTCTTGAATCTACAAATGAAACAATAATATGTATTATTTGGGTTTTTATCTAGCGTAATGTTAGGTACATTGACCCTACCAAGATTATAAACAGCACTTACTTCATGGCGAGCCCAGTTGCGTAATGCACAAACCACTTGAATTTCAGGACTCAATGGGCATCCTCGAGGGTCGTGCACTAAATCCTCACGTAAGATACCCACTATTTTTTCTCCGAAACGTTTTGAGAACCTATACTTATACCTAAAATCTTCGTCACTCAATTCAAACGGATTCACACGATGTCGATGTCTATCAGGTCGCCGAGTGGTCTCCAGCATGTCCAAATCTTCTAAATCCATCAAGTCAATCATGTTAATATCCATTTTTAACGATTTTAATAACACCAAATGAAAACAACGCTCACCTCAAATTAAGAAGTACCGAAATTGAGGTTAGTATAGAGTACCACAAACTATATAGAAAGGTTAGTACCATAGCTAAACTAGGGGTCTCGAAAGATTAACTTTAATACCATAGATAATCCTTGAACCAGAGATAATCTTCGTTTTGTAATAACGTTTTTCTTAGTTTATGGTTTAAATATATTACTAACTCCAGTACTATATTAAGTCCGTGTTTTGGAATAAGGCGGCTATTGTTTAATCGACATTCGCCAAGACTTGTCCTGATTTTGGTCTGGTGAACAAGTCTTTATTCGTTTTAATTTTATATGTTTTTTATGTACTTTAATATACTTTAATTATTACACATAAAGGTTCAAAGAAAAAAGCTTTGGAATGCATTTTGAAGTAATACTTTATTATCGTAACGTAATCTAATTTAGTTAAAGTGTTTCTATTTCTAAAATTAAATAAATTGTAGAAAGAGAAACATAACAAAATTTAACAATAATTAATTACATAATATTCATATACTTTTATTTTTATTTTTATTACTTTGTAATTTATGGCTACTTTCGAAATCCCCTCGGTGTCTGTCGTTTAAATACTTTAGCATAGACATGTTTGAAATTTGGTGTAAATATAGACTATTATAAATTTAAATTATCAACTATTTGAAAAACGATTTGAGGGTTAAAATGGGAAGCAAGAGAACATTTTCTTCTTATCTTTGTATTTTTATTCGACGTGAAAAAAGGTGTGTATAAATGACGATCGTTAGAGTAGCAAAGCCGCGCCTTTCTTGGTAACCTTTCTCGCCGCAAGATTGACGCACCCGTAAAGGTTAAACGTCAACGCTGTTTTATTTAGATTATGAGCTTTTTTTTTAACTGAGTGCAAGTGTCGACCGCCGGCCATTAACAACTGCAACACCAGTGGAATTGCAGTTGTAAAATTGAAAGTGATAAATTATGAGCAATATAAAATATTCGTTGGCAAAGTCATTTGTCACTATCCGCATCCAAAAATACAACGCCTTACGAATATAGATATAGTTTACGATACAAATAAAATAGTTTACGAAACATGTGTTATTTTTTTCTCCAAATACTAAATTTACTTGTTTGCACTAGCGACCTAGCAAATGATAGCTGAAAATCCACACCGAAAGGCTCTGGAGATTATTATTGCCTTTTTTTTTTTTTTTTTTTTTTTTTATAGGATAAGGGTGACAAACGAGCACACAGTCCACCTGATGGTAAGTGGTTGCTGTGGCCCATAGACATCTACATCTATCTTCGATTAAGAATCAAAATGCAGATGCGTTATCACCCGTGAGGACTAAGGTGGAATGCCTCGTTTCCAGTAAAAAGGGTCTCCGGTTCTCTACACTCACCATACGAAACACAGCAGCGTTAAGCTACTATTTTACGCTGGTATTCTGTGAGAGCGTGGTCCTTCCCCGGTCGAGCCGACCCATTCGTGCTACAAACCATAATATAGCTGCAACATGGCTCTACCACGTAAAAAAAGCCTGCCGCTAAGCAAGTCCAATAAGGGCAAATCTTGCAACTAACACATGCCAGCTCGCGCAATCTAATAAAGTAATGTGTCTCACGGTTGAGCACCTCAGTGGATACGCTCTACAGGGAGGATTTGAATCCCGCACGGCATAAATGCTCGTATGGCCTACAGATAACTGTTTCTGGTCTGGGACCAAGTGCAAATTATGTATGTATGTAAAACGTCTTCACGATACTAAAGAAAATCATACTGTAGAGATAAAGTTTTAAAAATCAAACAAAGAAGAAATGCCTGTGTACAGCGGTGGAATTAAAAAAAAAGTTATTACTGATTGTGTTTCTAAGATTTCTAGATAATCTTATTTTATGCGATTTTCAATTTCTTATTATGTATTAATTACTTTTAAAAATTTTTTGCAAGTCCTTATCTACTCTCTGCCTACTATTCTGTGAGATAGGCGTGATAGTTTATTTTTTCACGTTTATTACTTTTAAAAATTATAATTAACTTGATATGAATAATATCACGATAATAATTAGTAAAGTGTCCGAAACGTCGGAAATAAGAAAAAGTTAAAGTTAAAATTTAACTAGCAATAAAATCCGTGAAATTGATTTTATTTCATTCGTAAGAAAAGATCAGAGAAAAGTTGCTAGGTTGAAAATTGCATTACTTAACTTTAAATTTTCCTATTTATCATCATGTCAAAGTTTTCGCTTTAAAGTTAGAAAATAGAATTTCTATTTTTATTCTTCGTTCGAAATAATCGTATTTTATATTCCTTCTACGCTCTCCTGGAGTCCGAGCAAACACTTTTCTTTATACATAAATTAAATAAAGGGAACAAAGTAATCTTTTTCCTTCTTTTATTTACTCTTTCATCTATTTGGCATTAGGCATTAGAGAATGACAAACGAGTTTGCAGCAACCTGCAGGTCTATTGTAATACATTGCGTTTTATGTTTTATGAGCCGTGGTAGCTATCAAAGAAAAGCTATGTAAACTAAGCAATGTACTAAAAAGTGACGAATGCGACGTATTACTGCTGACAATATGTGTGTTGTGGTAGATGACCAATACAGCTAAAATTAACTTCCAACGAATAAGGTTACAGATGCGTTGTCACTTATAATCTTTACATACTATAAACAGAGTTGCTTCCCGGCGTCTGTACGCTTAGATCTTTTAAACTACGCAACGGATTTTGATGCGGTTTTCATCAAAAGGTAGAATGATTAAAGAGGAAAGTTTATATGTATAATACAATCATATTATATATTATATAGTTCTCCTGTCCGTGTGTATGCGATTGAACTGCTAAACAGCAGAACCAATTTTGATGATATTTTGTGTGTGTGATTAAGTTGATAGATTTGATAAGGGTTTGTAGCAATGGGATCCGGTGTGTAGCGTTGTTGTCGAGATCCAGAAATCATCCGCGCGAAGCCGGGGCGGATCGCTAGTGTAATCATATTTCTCTCCTCATACCTTTGAACCCCAACCAATAATTTAGGACTAGAAAAATGTAAGAGATTGTTACTTTTTTCATTCATTCATCCGTCACAACCTATCAAAAGTCCACTGCTGAACATAGGCCTTCCCCGTAAATTGCCACATAATTGCGACAATTGATACGCTATTTTTTATTATTTCGAGTAACTTTTGTCCATCTCCTGTTCCATTTCCCTCTGTCGCCTCTTACGACACACACGGGATGATACTAACACATCCTGTAAACGTCTTCTGCTGGACATTGGGTTTCTATATTTGTAGAGTGAATTTTTGTGGCATTCCTTGGGGGAGGCCTATGTTCAGCAGTGCAATTGTGAAGGGCTCTAATGATGATGATGATGATGAGAGAGGATTTGCCTTGATGGTTGCGCTCGGTCGATGACATTTACCGTTGGCTCTCGTTTAGAATTTTTAATATTTTTAATTTTCGCAACTGGGAGAAGCTCTAACGAACGTCCTATGTGTGAAAACAGAGCTTGTTCTATATATGCAGAATCGTTCGAAAATTTCGATAGCGTGATTTAGACTTCGGTTGCTGGGTAGTACCTCCACACTATAGTATAGCGTCTGAATCAAAGATGCAGACGTCTATAGTCGTTGATACCAAAACTGTAATGTTCTGATCAATACTTTCTTTATGAAATAAAAAATTGAATCCAATCCAGCAATCGCATTGAATTGAAAAAAAAAAATTCCATTATACCAATTTTGCCTCGTTACGGATCCAGACAATTCCAGCCATGACCTAAATACATCTGGGTTAGCTAATAATTCACTGGTATATTCTTCGCTTAAAAAAGCGAAGGACATAGCAAATTTGCACTTTTTTAGGTTTTACGTGTAATATTATCAGTCTTGAATATGAAACCTGAATAAAACACCTGAGTGTTAAAAGTAAGTTAAATTTGCCGGCTTGTGTAGATGTCTATTTAACATCCATCCATCCATTACAGCCTATAAAAGTCCACTGCTGAACATAGGCCTCCCTCTTAATTTCCCCCATAGGGGGGATTTTGCCATAGTTGCCAAGCTTGTGTATTTTGACATAGTTGTAGGCAACCGCAGTTTTTTATTATATTAAGTTTATATCAGGAAGATGGTGCTGCCAATTACCAGTTTCATTTCCTGCTGTCGACTCTTACCACATTACACACACAGTGCCTATTTAATATAACCTTCTTTTAATTTAAAATATCTATTCACCCCATACATCTAATGTCCCTCAAAACAAAAATCTGTGTCGGATAAGTAGGTCAAAGCATATGTCCGTCCTCGTTCATCATTAGGCGTCATAGAGAGATTGATATTAAATTCTCTTGACAAAGGCGAGTGCGCTCAATACAGTCTATTGTGCGCCTTAACTGGACATATTGCGCGGGAAATTCGCTATAATGCTATTGCAAAGTCATCTGTATAAAAATGCGCTATAAGCACTATATTTCTGTAAATAGAATTTTCATTAAAATGTGTGGATTTTTTATATTTTTTTAACTACAACAGAGTGACTATCTTAAAGGATATTTTTTATTAATATGTGTGGCTTGGATGTTTGTCTTTTAAGCCATTGTCTTCATTTATCTCAGTATCAATCTATACAAATATATAAAATTGAAGTGTCTGTTTGTAATGTCAAAATACCAACTTTTTACTAAATACATATGAAATATATAAAATACTTATAACAAAAACCAATTTTTAAAATGTTTGTCTGTCTGTCTGTTTGTTCCGGCTAATCTCCGAAACAGCTGGACCGATTTCGACGGGACTTTCACTGACAGATAGCTGATGTTATAAGGAGTAACTTAGGCTACTTAGTTTTTAAACAAAGAATTATGTTTCCGCGCAACATAATTAAAACCCTAAATATCACGTGGGCGAAGTGGTGGGGAACAGCTAGTTGATAATAATCCTTTATAGTGCACTGCTTCACAAGATGTTGATGCGTCACATTGCATAGTTTTTGGGGGATTTAGACGGCAACTTGAGCCAGCAGACAGTTGGC